AAGTAAAATAAAAATAGCTAAAATATTGCCGTTATACAAATATGGGAACAAACATCACTTCACCAACTATCGACCAGTCTCTCTGCTGCCACAGTTCTCTAAAATATTAGGAAAATTATTTAATAACAGACTGGAAACATTCTTAGATAAACATAAATTCATCAGTGAAAGTCAGTATGGCTTCAGATCAAGAAGATCAACAATGCAAGTAATTTTAGAAACTGTAGAGGAGATAACTACTGCGTTGAATAACAAGAAAATTGCTGTTGGAGTGTTTTTGGACATCAAGAAGGCGTTTGACAGTCAGTCATGATTTATTACTAAAAAATACTTGAACGCTATGGGATAAGGGGAGTAGCACTAGACTAGGTTCAAAATTATTTGAAAGGCACACAACAGTATGTGAAGTTAGATGTTTGTTCTGGATGTTATGACATTGTTTGTGGGGTTCCTAAGGGGTCAGTCCTGGGTCCCAAACTGTTTATTCTTCCTCTTCTTTCGGCTTTTCCCTCTTCAGGGGCCGCCACAGTGAGTCATCTTCCTCCACCTCACTCTGTCCTCTGCATCCTCTGTTCTCACTCCAACTACCTTCATGTCCTCTCTAACTGCTTCTATATATCTCCTCTTTGGCCTTCCTCTTTGTCTTTTTCCTGGCAGCTGCATTTCTAACATCCTTCTACCAATATACCCATGGTCCCTCCTCTGGACATGTCCAAACCATCTCAGTCTGGCCTCCCTAACTTTATCTCCCAGTTGTTCAACCTGTGCTGTACCTCTGATTATCTCATTCCTAAACTTATCTAGCCTTGTCACTCTAAGGAGAACCTTAGCATCTTCATTTCTGCCACTTCCAGTTCTTTCTCCTGTCTTTTTGTCAATGCCACTGTCTTCAGACCATACAATATAGCTGGTCTCACCACTGTCTTGTAAACTTTTCCTTTGACCTTTGCTGACACCCTTTTGTCACAAATCACTCCTGAAACGTTTCTCCATCCACTCCATCCTGCCTAGACTCTCATTTTCACTTCTTTACCACATTCCCCATTTTCCTGGACATTGGATCCCAAGTACTTGAAGTCCTGCACCTTGGTGACCTCTGCTCCTTGTAGCCTCACTGTTCCACCAGCCTCCCTCTCATTTACACACATGCACTCCGTTTTACTACGGCTGACTTTCATTCCTCTTCTTTCAAGTGCATACCTCCACATGGAGATGTGGAGGTATGCAGTTCTCTGCAGTTCTCTTCCACCTGTTCCCTGTTCTCACCACAGATCACAATGTCATCTGCAAACATCATCGTCCATGAGTATTCTTGCCTGACCTCATCTGTTAGTCGGTCCATCACCAGAGCAAACAAGAAGGGGCTCAGAGCCGATCCTTGATGCAATCCCACCTCCACCTCGACGCTATCTGTCACTCCTACAGCACATCTCACCACTGTCCTGCTGTCCTCATACATGTCCTGTACCAGTCTAACATACTTCTCTGCCACTCCAGATTTTCTCATGCAATACCACACCTCCTCCCTCGGCACTCTGTCATATGCTTTTTCTAAATCCACAAAGACACAATGGAGTTCTTTCTGACCCTCTCTGTACTTCTCCATCAACATCTGCAAAGCAAAGATGGCATCTGTGGTGCTCTTTCTTGGCATGAAACCATACTGCTGCTTACAGATAGTCACCTCTCGTCTAAGTCTTGCTTCCACAACTCTCTCCCAGATCTTCATCGTGTGGCTCATCAACTTAATTCCCCTGTAGTTGCTACAACTCTACATCACCCTTGTTCTTAAAAATGGGCACCAGCACACTTCTTCTCCATTCCTGAGGCATTTTCTCACCCTCAAATATGCCATTGAATATTTGAGTCAAAAATCTCACTGCCATCTCTCCAAGACATTTCCAAACCTCCACTAGTATGTCATCAGGTCCTACTGCCTTCCCCTTCTTCATTCTTTTCAGAGCTTTCCAGACTTCACCCTCACTAATCTTTCCCACTTCCTGGTCCACAGTTTCTATGCCCTCTACTCTTCTTTCTCTTTCTTTCTCTTCATTCATTAGCTCCTCAAAGTACTCATTCCATCTTCCCGTCACACTCTCCTCACTTGTTAGAACATTACCATTCCTATATTTAATAAGCCTAACTTGTTGCACATCCTTTCCAGCCTGATCCCTCTGTCTTGCCAATCGGTACAAGCCCTTCTCACCCTCTTTAGTGTCCAGTCTCCCATACAACTCATTGTACGCCCTCTGCTTTGCCTTAGCTACTTCCCTCTTTGTTCTACGTCCCATCTCCTTATATTCCTGTCTCCTCTCTTCAGTCCTCTCACTGTCATATTTCTTCTTGGCTAACCTCTTTCTTTGAACGGCGTCCTGCACTTCACTATTCCACCACCAGGTTTCCTTATCATCCATTCTCTGTCCAAATGACACACCAAGTACCTTCCTACCTGTCTCTCTAATTACTGTTGCTGTAGTAGCCCAGTCATTTGGAAGCTCTTTCTTACCACCCAGAGCCTTTAACAGCTCCTCTCTGAATTTCTCACAACATTCTTCCTTCTTCAGCTTCTACCATTTGGTCTTCTTCTCTGATTGTACTCTTTTTCTCTTCTTCACAACAAAAGTCATTCTACACACAACCATCCGATGCTGTCTGACCATGCTCTCCCCTGCCACAACCTTACAGTCTCCAATCTCCCTCAGGTTTCCTCTTCTACACAGAATGTACTCGACCTGCGTACTCCTTCCTCCACTCTATGTTTCTCCCTCTTTTGGAAATAGGTATTGACTATAGCCATTTCCATTCTCTTGGCAAAATCCACCACCATCTGTCCTTCCTGGTTTCTTTCCTTGACATCAAACCTACCCATCACTTCCTCATCCCCTCTGTTTCCTTCACAAACATGTCCATTCAGGTCTGCTCCGATCACCACTCTCTCCTCCCTGGGAATGCTCTCTATCACTTCATCCAGATCTTTCCAAAATGTATCTATCTCTTCCTCTAGCTTTGTAGAGATCTAGTAGAGTGCTATATGCATGGGTAAATGAGGCACAGATTGTAGTGTAAAGCGCTTTGAGTATCTTGAAATAAGATAGAAAGGCGCTATTTAAGTACAGTCCATTTACCATTTACCTCATCACATCCAACCTGTGGAGCATAACCACTGACAATGTTTAGCATCAGACCTTCTACACTGTTTATAATTTTTGTAAATGATCTATGTACTGTAATTGAAATAATGAAAAGTATACTATTTGCTGATGATACAAATATTTTTTTGTGTTGGAGATGGCATGGAACAACTGTTAAAGGATGTAACTAATGAACTGAATAGACTTAAAATGTGGTTTGACGAAAATAAGCTGTCCTTGAAGCTAAACAAAACAAAAATAATGTTATTTGGGAACTGTCAATCACATACAGAAATACAAATACAAATAGATGGAGTGAAAATTGAAAGAGTTCATGAAAACAAATTTCTTTGTGTCATTATTGATGATAAACTCAACTGGAAAGCACACATCAAATATGTTCAAAGTAAAGTCTCAAGAAATATCGCCCTCTTAAACAAAGCCAAGTCGGTCATAGAACAAAAAGCATTACATGTACTCTAATGTTCACTAATCTTACCTTATTTAAGTTATTGTGCAGAAATCTGGGGCAATAATTACAAAACTGCACTACAGGCAATACTACAAAAAAGAGCAATAAGAGTAATCCATAAGGTGGGATATTTAGAAAGCACTAATACACTATTTGTAAAATCTAAATTATTAAAGTTAATTGACATAGTGAAAGTACAGACAGCTCTAATTCTTTACAAAGCAAAAAATAAACAATTACCAGAAAACATTCAAAACCTGTTTAAAATTAAGGAGCAAATTTATACGTTAAGGAGGAATCACAGTTTAAAATATGCAAAATTAGAACTACTCAAAAGAACTTTTGTGTCTCAGTAAGTGGAGTCAAGCTGTGGAATAAATTGAATATTGAAATTAAACAATGTCCAAACATAAAACTGTTTAAATTATCATATAAAAATATGATTATTGCTGGATATAATATATAATAATATTATTCAATTACTGTTGAGTTTTTTTGGCTATTTGTCATTGATGCTTTTGTTTTTTGTGAAGTTAAAGTAATAATAAATGTTCATCTACTATAGTTAACTTAAATAGATACTATATTGATGGATAAATATGGGTTTAGTTGTTATACTGTATGTATGGATTATACATGTAAGATAATGTACTGTAAAACTTGAGCTGATCTGAAGTGTGCCTCTTAGTCTCGTTGGTTTGAAGAGAGAACCCAGTTGACTCAGCCCAGAATTTAGATTTACATTTCCAATTAGATCTGAGCTTCAAATGTTGCAGGGAGTTCCTTAATGTCTCTTTTTACATTAGAAAACACTTCCATACTGCAGACGCATAGACACGTGACACTACAACCCTTCACAGCATCACTAGGAGGCAGGTGTAAAACCATAGACAGATGTAGGGGTCAGAGCTACTCCAGTTATTTAAAAGTATGTAAGTTATGTAATTATAAATACTTTGTACTACTTTCTACTTCTACCATGTGAGCCATTTTGAAGGTAGTGAAATATGGTCAAATTTTGTGATATGACTGGTGTAACACCTGAAGGAATGTTTCATCTTGAATCTCTTGATTCTTTAACCTGATAGCTCTAATTTGTGTCTGAGAAAGTTTGTGCAGAATGAGCATCTGGGGTTCGTGTCAGCAGCCATCAGAGGACGTGAAATAGAAAAGGAAGTTTCTCTTGAATTTGTTGTGGTCAAACATTCCACTAAAAGGTCATGGGTTTGATCCGTTGCAACATGGTGGTGCTTCTTGGTCAAAACTGTGAAATCCCCACAGTCCTCGATAAGCTTGTTTGTTCATGAGTCAGAGTATTAAAGTGCTGTTTGTGTACATAGATAAGACTACAAGTACAGACTTTCTACCATTCATGGTTTCCTTCTGTTTTCTGACAGATCGCTCTAGAGTCGGTTTGTGTGATTGATGATGGAGAAACCATGCTGGTGGAGGGTCTCCGAGTCGCCCCTGAAGAAAGGGGGAAGGGCGTGGCAGGTGTTCTGCTGCGCTTTTGCTCTGAGCTTGTGAAGTCCAAGTATCCAGAGGTAAAAGTGTGTCGCCTGACCCGTGACGATCGACTTGGACCCAAAGACTTTCAGAAGTACCGTGTCATAACGAAGCAGGTACAACAAGAGAAACAAGACTGATAAACTGTTCTTTGTAATAAATCGTCCTAACATTTGAAGACAAAGTGTTTGCTTCACTCATTTATTTTGACTGTCTTGTCTGTCTCAGGGAATTCTGTTGGTGCGTTTCGGAGCTGAGGAGCTCAAGCTGCAAATTTCTAATTTTATTTCAAACAAGGGCATCCATTCCTCCATGTCCAGTCCTTCTGCTGTGCGTCTCGATCATAAATCTGTTCATCAGCTTTACCTAACTACTGACCTGATGCACGGGGTCCTTCCTAACACCACTATAATTCAAGACTGGCAGCCGTTCAAGCTACTGCCCAGTAACTTTGCCATCCTGCTGAAGAAGAACATCGACTGGATGGTGGATGAGGTGTCCAACCCCACAGTGGCCAGCCTGTGCACGTTCCCATTCAAGGTGCCCATTGGAGATGACTGGTAAAAGTCTTTCATTAATTTCAAAAACCAGACAGATGTTGCACATAAGTGCTCTCTGAGGCATCATACAACCGACTCAGAGTCAGTAGACCTTGTTCATAGGGGCCACATTACATATTCATATATCTAGATCACAGATCATGTTTTTCTTAAACTGGGGTAGACAGAAATACGGAAATAAAGAGGCATATTCCTCTGACACAGATCGGACCAGTCACAGTGGTACCTGAGTGTTTACACACAGTCAACAGAAGAAAATATCAACCACACAGTATCTAACATGAAGCAAGAGACATCCTCTCAGGTTTCTTCTAAAATTTTTCAAACTTGTCCAAGAATCTAGTTTATTTGCAGATTATTTCAGTTGTATTACACATGGTTAAACTTTACCTACTTGTTAGCTTAGCCCCCTTCACACTGGATACTGACCCAGGTACACTCGCTAAGATCCACACAACTTGTTAGAACATGGATTGTCAACAACACATCCCTATGGCCAAACTAGTGTGTAAGCCCAGGACTGCACCCAACCCCACACTGACACGACTCTCTGGAACTGAGTCAGAATGCAGAGTTTTCCTGCCACAAGTGTCAAGTTTGTGATCAGGCTTCACAGTGGCCTTGTGAATATATGCAGAACCTTCGCCTGTGCAGTGATGTCATCAAGCTGTTCATGTTACCATGATTGCCATCAATGTGCGCTGTAGTTCATGCAACTTAGTGCATAAAACAAATCATTAATGCACACAACCTGTTGTGTAGCAATTATTCTCAAGTGAGCAATAGAATGAGTTATGTGCAGCACATTAGAGTTCAGATGTTTGAACCTGGATCATCTCACACCAAACCTCCACCCTGCTAGAGCAGAGACCTGACAGGAATGTCAGGGACTCACAGAGACATGTTCAGTATGTTTTCAGGCACAGAGTCTGAAGGGGTGGCTGGAATTGAAAAGACAGTTCGTCATTGGAAAGGGCATAAAGAAACACATTGTCCAGGCAACCACAGACTCCCCCAAACAGAGCCCCCTAGGAGAGGGACAGGAGGGAATGTGGTCCTGGTTGATCCCTACAGCCTATTACCGACAAGGATATGACTATTTCCGTTATTACAAAGAGAAATTGTGGAACATTAAACTTCATGATAAACTAACCAAAGAGGCTTGCCCTACGATATGAGGGACAAACGTAGATCTTATTATTTGATGTTAGATGAACAGACTATGTTTCTGGGGCTCCAGCATCAGTCTCAGAAGGCGGAAACACCTTCAGCAGCATGAAGAAACCTCCACCACAGCCACCCTTCTTCCAGCAGTGGGGCTACGATTAGTTCAAGAGCTTCTTGCTTTTCATCCAGCAGGTGAATGAAGAACAGAGGAGCGTGGAGCAGTCTTTTTACAGGAGGGGCATTTTAAAACACAGCATTCTTTGAATTATTCACTATTTTTTTGTTGTTTTCGTTGAATCCCACCTACCAGCAACTGCACCAACCCCCAGACTAACCTTAAGCTACTCATGTTTCTTTCAAGGCATTTCATTCTTTGTTACTCATTATTCAGCACAACAAAACTGTCTAAAAGCAGGAAAAGCATCTTAACGAGCACTAATCTCAGCCCAAACAGAGGCTGCAGGTATGGAGACATGCTGCTACTACTTCCTCTGAGTTGCTTATTTTTCTTCTTCATCATGGGTGTTGGTAGGTGTTGTGTCAAAAGAAGAACCCTGCCACAGCTATAAAATCAACTCGTTAGGTGCTGGTGGAATTGGATGGATGGTTGTGATGATCACATTCATCAAAATCTTTAGACTCGCTAAAAACATTTAATTCAGCTTTAACTATTAGAAAATCGTTGCTGTTTTCTAACATTGATGTCAGAAGCATGAGTGGTAATTGTGTTCTAGGTGCTTTATTTCATATTTAATAGTGACAATTTAATCTTTGGCCACTCCGATCATTTGACAAAACTACTTTTAAGCAATGTAAAAAGTAGACAGTAAAGTTTCCTCAAATTATAATGGTGGTTGGTTTACAGATATATATGAGGAAATGGCCATAATGACCTTTTTTAAACCTAGATGCAACCACACACCAAAAATGGAAGTCAGAACCTTACTTATTTTTAAAGTTATCATGCTCACAACACAGACAGATGGACGGAGCAATGTTTACTCCATGATGGAGGACAGCAAAGACCTCAAAGATTGACCCTTGGAGAGAATTTGTTCGCTCATAATTACAGTTTTATGTTGTTCAGTCTTAGATTATGTCTCTGAGGGTGGCATTACTCTCTCAAACTGACATTATCTTCGCAAATAAGCAGGTTTTCATGTTACTGATGAACGCGCTGCCTGTAAGGACTCTTTAGCACCATGTTCAGTCTCTACAGTTGCAGCCAGGCAGTAAGACCTATAGGACCTACAGGTCTGTATGGCTGTGGTGATGCCGCAAGTGTTGCAGTAGTTGACTTGGAGGGCTGTCAGTGAGGTGTGGGTGTAATGGGGTCATAGCTGATGCCATGAGGCCAGAGTATACAGTTCTCTTTCATATTCTTAATAATTGGACTATGCTGGTGAGCCCCACATTATGGATACAACTCCACCATACTCCAGCCAAGACCCTGATACACTGCCATCATGACCTCCATGGAGGTTCCATCCTCTTTAACCTGTTAGACACTCCTGAAGACCCCACCATCACCCTCCAAAGACCATCCACATTGGGGACAATTTTTGACATTGTAATGCGGTCATGATCCAGTGCAAAGGGGGCCTTAGCTATTCTACCCCAGCTTTAAGAATCCAAACAAAAGCAGGTCTATTTCTTATCTTTTTTCTCTTTCTTTGTTTCTCCCTGAATAAACTGACTCCCTTCTTCTGACACAGGTATTACCTGAACATTGACATGTACGGTAAAGACCTGAGCTTGGTTCAGCAGCAGTTGCTGTGCCACCTGCAGTGCCACACGGCTACCTTGAAGGGCCACGTGATGTGCCAGATATTCCTGGATCCAGCACTTTGGAAACCTTTGGCTGATTTCTGTCACAACGTCTTGAATGTAGAGCTGGTGAAAGAATACACCGAACAATGTGTGGTGGAGTCAGATGTTGTCTAAAATCAGGAGGAGGGAAATCATCTGTTCAAATGCCAGAAACACCAACCTTTGTTCTGAAGGGGAACATGTTTAGACTTTTAAGAATGCAGTATTTACTATAGGAACAAAGATCAAAATTCCATGCAGTCAACTACATGCAGTTCTATAACCACTTATGCTCCTTTTGCACCGCTCCTACTCAGCCCACCACGGAAAGATCCATTTTGCACCAGTACTTTAGCTAGTATTTTTAGCTGATTTAAGGCTAATTTGGAACCTTTTTTCGTCCCTACTTCTCTGGTGGGACCGTTCAAGCTGACTTGGGACCGAAACGTGAATGCAGGACTGATAATAATAATAATAATAATAATAATAATAATCATTTTATTAAAACGCGCCTTTCAGGACACCCAAGGACACTTTACAGTAAGAAACATATCAGAAAGATTGTGTAAAAACAAACAACAAGCACAGTGCAAAGATCAACAGGAATAAATTGAAATATAAAATACATAAAGAATATATAAAATACATACGTAAAGGATAAGAGGGTCTAAAGAGATGTGTTTTCAGAGTAGTCTTGAATAGAGAAAGAGAGGTGGTGTTTCTTAAGTCAGGGGGTAGAGAGTTCCAGAGATGAGGGGCAGAGCAGGTGAAGGCCCTGCTCCCCATGGTGGAGAGGCGGGCAGAGGATACATGGAGGTGTAGTCAGTCAAGTCAAGTCAGATTTATTTATAGAGCACGTTTAAAACAGAAACTGTTACCAAAGTGCTTAACAAAAATATCACATCATCAAATAAAAAGTAGCAAGATATGTTTACAGCACATGGAATAAAAATATAAAACCAAAAACAATTAGAAACAATTAAATACTTAATCAGATCACGTTGTGTCAAAAGTCAAGGAAATAATAACAAAAAGCATAAACTCAGTCAGAAACAATGAAATGCTCAATCAGATTTGATGACCTTGTGTTAAATAGGAATAATAACAAAAGCATAAACAAAATCAGTATCAATGAAAAACTAGATCTAAATCCGATCACCCTGTGTTAAATGTCAGTGAGTACAGATGTGTTTTTAGGAGAGATTTAAAAGCAGAGACTGGGGTGGCCTGTCGAATGTTGATGGGCAGATTGTTCCAAAGTTTAGGGCCCACGACTGAAAACGCTTGATCTCCTCTGAGCTTAAGCCTGGTTTTTGGTACAGCCAAAAGCAGCTGGTCTGATGATCTCAAAGCCCGAGAAGGAGCATAAGGATGAAGAAGGTCAGAGAGGTATGATGGTGCAAGGCCGTTAATGCACTTGAATGTCAGCAGGAGAATTTTAAAATCGACTCTGACACGTACAGGAAGCCAGTGAAGGGAGGACAGAACCGGAGTAATGTGCTCAAACCTGTGAGTTCCTGTTAGTAGCCGAGCTGCAGCATTTTGTACGAGCTGGAGACGTGAAAGTGAAGCCTGACTAACCCCAACATAAAGTGAGTTACAGTAGTCCAGCCAGGTTGTAATAAATGCATGGACTAGTTTTTCAAGGTCAGATCTGGACAGAACGGACTTAAGCTTTGCTATTTGCCTTAGCTGAAAGAAGCTTTTTTGTAGAACAGAGTTGATCTGTTTATTAAACTTAAAGTCCGAGTCTAACACTACCCCGAGATTGGTAACCGACTGCTTTAGATGAGGCTGAAGGGAGTGCAGGTTTACAGGATCAGTGACAGTGGCAGAGCTTGGGTTAAACACAATGACCTCAGTCTTCTGATCATTAAAACTCAAGAAATTTGCAGCCATCCAAGTCTTGATGTCATCAAGACATTTTAGCAAAGGGTGGATGGAGCAGGAACTGTTTGGTTTTAAAGGCAGATAGATCTGAGAATCATCGGCGTAACAGTGAAACGAAATACCATGTTTCCTCAGGATTGACCCCAAGGGGAGCAGATACAAAGAGAACAGAAGGGGTCCAAGAATGGAGCCTTGTGGGACCTCACAGGAAAGAGGGACAGAAGCAGAAAAATGATTGTCAAAGTTAACACAGAAACTCCTGTCACCCAGATACGACCGGAACCATTCTAGTGCCAGCCCTGTAATCCCAACCCAGTGTTCTAGTCGTGACATAAGGATGCTGTGATCAACAGTGTCAAATGCAGCGGTAAGGTCGAGGAGTACCAGGATCACAGACTGACCAGAGTCATTTACTAGCAGAATGTCATTACAGACCCTTACTAAAGCTGTCTCGGTGCTGTGCAGTTGTTTAAATCCTGACTGAAAAATCTCAAAAATTCCATTTACATTCAAAAATTTGGTTAGTTGACTAAAAACTATTTTCTCCAAGATTTTAGAAAGAAATGGAAGTTTTGAGATTGGCCTGAAGTTTGAACAAGCTGCAGGGTCAAGTCCGGGTTTTTTAATTAATGGAGTTACCACTGCATGTTTTAAAACATCGGGGACCACACCTGTAGCCAAACTGCTGTTAATAATGGCAAGAACAGAGGGTCCAGTTGACGGTAGAACCTGTTTAAAAAATGCAGCAGGGATGGGATCAGCAGGGGAGCCTGAGGGTTTCATGTAACCAACGACCTCATTTAAAAATGAGAGTGAGATGGGGTCAAAGTGACTGAAGACTGCTGAACAGGGGACAAGAACTGAAGGGTCGGCTGTGGAGTGTGGAATTGATGACCTAATCGACTCAACCTTTTCAACAAAATGCCTGACAAACTTATTAAAGGTGTTAACAGAGGCCTCAATGGTGGCAGACTTGAGGCACGTTTAGAATGGTGTTAATGGTGTTGAAAAGAACGCGGGGGTTGTGACTGTTTGAGTTGATTATTTTTGAGAAATATTTGTTTTTCCCCTGTTTAACGGTGGTCTGATAGGCTTTCCAACATGTTTTTAACATCTCAAAAGACACCTGAAGTTTATCTTTTTTCCATCGACGTTCAGCTCTTCTGCACAGGCGTCTTGCCTCTTGTGTGGTCTCATTTACCCAAGGGTGGGGCGTGCGTTTTCGATTCCTGAGCTTTAACGGGGCGACTGAGTCCAGGATCTGTACACACGCCTCCTGATGCTGAGAAAGCAACTCCTTTGTAGTAAGACCCACAGAGAGTTCAGAGTCTGAAACAGAATTACCAGCAAAGATGGAAGAGAAGAATGTGGCGGTGGAAGGGTTAAAAATCCTACAGGGCTTGGGTGTGGGGGGAGGTGCAGGTTCACAAATCAATGAGGTGTTGAATAAAACCGGTTTGTGGTCAGAACAAACAGTGTCACCAATTTCTAAATCAGAAACAGACAAACCATGTGTTAAAACTAAGTCTAGAGTGTGGCCCTGCTGGTGAGTCGGACCAACAACACTCTGAACAAAGTTAAAGGACTGGATGAGGTCTAGAAAGTCCTGAGCTAAAGGTTTAGTAGGGCAGCACACGTGGATATTAAAGTCACCTAAAATCAAAACCCGATCATATTGGAGCAGAATACCAGTTAGAAAGTCAGATAGTTCATTTAAAAACTGTTTATGGTATCCGGGGGGTCTGTAAAAAATAGCACACAGAACTGGGTTGGAGCGGCCCAGCTCACAACAGAGCAGTTCAAAACTCGAATAATTAGCTGAACCAGGGAGCTGTCTGCAGTGCAAATGTTTCTCACAAACAGCCAATAATCCTCCACCACGACCAGTTGTCCTTGGAGCATTGAAAAAAGAACAATCCAGAGGCAGTAATTCCAGAAAAACACTGAACTCACCAGGGCAGATCCAAGTCTCAGTGATGAAAAGAAAGTCCAGTCGGTTGCAACAGAAAAAGTCGTTCAAAATAAAAGTTTTATTAGCCAGCGATCTGGCATTTATCAGGGCCATCCTCGTAGAATCCACCACAGGAGGAGATGGTTGCAGTGTCCAGTCCAACTGCCTCAGTGAAGTGTAGTGAAGTGTAGTGAAGAGGAGGATCTGAGAGAGCGAGATAGGAGGTCAGACAGGTAAGGAGGGGCAAGGTTGTAGATAGCTTTGAAAGTGAGAAGAAGAATTTTGAAGACGATGCGTGATTTAACCGGGAGCCAGCGGAGCTGCTGCAGGACAGGAGTGATGTGGTTATAGGAGGAGGTTTGAGTGATGACACGGGCAGCTGAGTTCTGGACCAATTGCAGCTTCTGGAGAGATTTGTTGGGGAGGCCATAAAGAAGGGAGTTGCAGTAGTCAATCCGAGAAGTCACAAGACTGTGCACAAGGATGGCTGTGGAGCGGGGTGTGAGAGAACGGCGGAGACGGTTAATATTTCGGAGATGGAAATAGGCAGACCAAGTAACATTGTTGATGTGTGGAGTGAAGGAGAGAGTGGTGTCGAGGATGACACCAAGACTCTTGACCTGAGGCGAGGGGGATAGCAGAGAGTTGCTAAGGGGGATGAGAAGATGTTCAGATTTTGAAATAGAGTTTTGGTACCGACAAGAATGATTTCTGTTTTGTCACTGTTTAGTTGTAGGAAATTGTTAGAAAACCAGTAATTTAGCTCATTGAGACAGTCGGTGAGGATGGAGGGGAGGAGTCACTGGATCGCAGAAACTTTTCACCGATCCGCCATTTGTAATTTCTTGGAACTCGGAGCTGGAAACACGCGCTGGATCTATTTTTAAGATTTTAAAATCAATAATGACAACACCATGTTTAATGCTGAAGTCCAGGTGTTTTTTGTGTTTGGTGACGATGAAAAATTTCGAGTGAGCGGAGGATCGCACACGAGACCGGACGCCGAGCCCCGGCCTCGCGTGCTCACAAAGGCCGGATTCCGAACCCTGGCAAGTGGGAGGACCAGGACGAAGGGTGGAAACGTTTTTTTCAAAACATTTTATGTATTAAAAAATAATGTTGTTTTTTTTAATCAGTGAAGAATAAAAATAAATAAACAGTGCCGGCTTTATCATGAAGTCCTGTTTTCACTTTGACTTTATTAAATAATCTGTTAATTAAAGTTAACTCACCTGAAAAATCATAAAAAGACAAAATTATTGAATCTCTCAGGAATATTTCCCTCAAACATGTT